ATAATATATACAAAGAGAGATTATTGGCTACCTGGGCTTCCACCAATGGGATTGCAGTACTGCTTGCATAATCTTGCTTCTGTCTGCATTGTCTTGGATTGGCTGGTACCATCGACCGATGACGTGTATTCAGAAGCCATGCACGTGTCATTGACGTCATCTTTCAAATTTGATTGATCGCAAATGTCCTGAAACTGTAACGCGCCGCTCCAAGGTAGGCGCCATCGTATAGGCCTGGATCACCACAAGTAGCGCGTAGGTGATTTGCTGGCGTCATTTGGGAAGGTTGACTCACCACAGTTGTCCAGAAATTATAAAGCGTCACTCCGAGGTTTACGTTGTCTCGTAGCCTAGGATCACCACATTTATTATGTGTATCGGTGTCTGTTCAACGAAGTGAGCTCGTTTGACGAGCCAATATGCTTTAGAATGTTGTTCACAAATCTTTGAGAGTAGCCGTTCTAGACGAACTCCTCGCAAATTAATCTCATCGCACTTTCAACGGTATGGTCTGTGCATAATTTTAACATATCCTGGTAAATAGGCATTGAGTCAGACTGTTTTTCCGCTTAACTGGCACATAGCTTTTGATATGGATAGATGGATCAATTCTGGACGGATTCTTGTGAATCCTCTGGGGTATGATAAGCTTTAGCTTTGTTAAAACTTTGACTTTGACTTTGAATAAGTAAGGTGGAGAGTTTCCGTCTGTCTGATCGACTGCTCAACAGAATGTACAGAATTGCCATCTGCTCGTTTCCACCCTAAATGGTTCGATAGTTGCACCAGAAGAGCTCAACAGTTATGTCAACTTTCCAGCGAGATTGACTATTGTGTGGAGTTGTGTTCATTGCATCGATAATGATATATGCATATATATACCTGTCCCCAATTTAACCATATCTTGAACGTCCTGGGCACAACTGGTGCCGTCAGGATCAGGATGTAGGTCCCATGGCCAGAAACCTTCAAGGATAGAAACGGGCGGGCGTTCCTGGAGGATTTCGAGGACGTCGCAGAGCTGGCGGGAATACAGTCAGAGCGGGATAAGTTGACGGCCCTCTGAGCGCTTCTCAAGGACCGGGCACGGGCGGTGTTGGATGCGGTGCGAAGAGGCCCGGAGAAGATGAATTGTGCCGACACCCTGATCGCGGGTTTTGACACCCTGGCCGACCGCCAGGTGACGTTGCGGAGCTTCCAGACGGCGCAGCTCGGAGTTGGGACGGATCCTCTGTCGTACGCCGTGGCCCTGAGCGCCCTGTTGGATCCAGCGCTGCCANCTGCCAACTTTGAACGACTCCGCTCGCTCGGAATTATTACTGGAGCGTTTCGTGGAGAGTCTACCAGACAATCTGAGGGAAACGGAGCGAATTTTCCAAGCGGGATGTGTCATGGATGCATTCACGTTGGCTGAAGCCATGAAACAGTTAACAAATCAAGTTTCGGCTCTCCAAACTTACGAAGTCCCGAAAGGACAGCCGCCGGAGGATGTTACGGAAGCCCTGAAAAGGTGACAGAAGAAGTAGCAACACTGAAATCAAACTTCGAGGTAAGAAAGAACAGGAATGTGTGCTTTCAATGCGGCAAACTGGGCAACTGGCGGAGGCACTGCCCATAAGGATACGCAGAACACGCCCATCTCGTCAAATAAGGCTATAATAGGAGCAGTAGATTGCGGTGCACTCCAGGCCCAATTGGAGATACAGGGTCGATACGGGTGAGGCAATGCCGTTGGTGAGACCCAAAACAAATGAACCCCTGGAACCATGGAATACAGCTGTGAAAACAGTCGGGGATTACCAGTTGAAGGTAGACGCAGTAGCCAAACGGACAGTCCGCGTTGGAAACAAGATAATCAAGCACCCATTTGACATAACAAAAGACACGAGCCAGACCATAGTGGGGCAGAAATCTTACGCAGCTTAAGGGCTGTGGTTGATCTGAACAACGAACAGCTTGTTACCAAATTCGACACGATCCCGCTGTCACACTCTAAAAGGAAGAAGTTGTCAGCCGTGAGTAAAGAAACAACTCAAACGAATGTGTCTCCGTCATTCCGGCCAGTGGTGCAACGATACTCCCACCTGTTCTTGTGAACAAGTGATGACGACCCGTACATATGCTGTAACAGGGTGGAACACGAAATTCCAATGAAGGTAGAAAAATTTCGGCCATATGTTTTACGCCGAGTTCCACTACACTTGGAGGACGAAGTCAAGCGGCAGGCCAAACAAATGTTGAAACAAGGAATCATTGAAGAAACTCGAAGTCCGTATAAATCGCCTGTGCTACTGGTGAAAAGCCCAACGGTAAATTTCGGTTCTGTGTGGATTTCCGCCAAGTAAACACTTTGACTATAAACAAGCCAGTCCCAGTCCCGACCGTGGCAGAGATTTTTGACCAACTGCAGAGCGCGAAAGTGTTCTCAGTTGTGGATCCACGATTGAGATATTGGCAAGTACCAATAAAAGAAGCTGATCGAGAGAAAACGGCGTTCACAGTCGGAAATAAACAATATCAGTTCAAACGAATGCCATTCGGATTATCAGGAGCACCATTTACATTCCGCCTCCTCATGTTGAAGTTACTCAAAGGTGTCCCCAACGTGGTGGTGTTGGTTACGATATTGTTGTCTACAGTCAAACAATAACCGAACACACATTCCACTTGGAAAAGGTTCTGAAAAGAATCCAAAAATCTG